GTTCCCCGCGCCCCCCCCCCCCCCCCCCCCCCCCCCCCCTTTTTTTCCCCCCCCCCCCCCCCCCCCCCTTTTTTTTTTTTTTTTTTTTTTTTTTTTTTTTTTTTTTTTTTTTTTTTTTTTGTTATATGAACCTCAACAAATTCAATTTCCATACCATTCATTGACAGCCCGTTTTTCCGTTTCGGGCCTTTTCTTCTGCTAGGCGCAACCCATATATTGTATGGGAAAGGTGCTAGTGGCTTAAGACTTCCCGCCGATAGGGCCCTGCTTGATGCTCTCTATTGATCTGTTCTCTTCTGTTCTTGAGCGCTTGCACCTTCCGTGGCCTTCCCTGCTGCACCCTTTCGTTCCTTGCAGTCCATATTTTGCCCGCAATACTGCCTCCTTAACGACTTCCATGGCGTGGAGACGCCGCGCGTCCTCTCTTCCCACCACCTTGGCCGCTGCCCCCGGCAAGATATAAATGTCATCTTCCTCTGTCGCATCCAAGCGGGTGTTCTCAGCCATGACACTCGCCCAGCAACACCAGAACTCCCCCTAACAACTGGGCACCTGACGAAAAGACGCAGAATAATTTGGGTCTGCACCGTGCTGCTTAGCACAGGCCGGCAGCCTTTTTTCTTTTTTTTGAGGTTGTGCCTGCTGGGCCTGGGCCCTGCACCTCAGGCTGTCGAACGCCTTTTTTTTTCTTTTTTATTGAGGTCGGCTTTCGAGAGCCGCCACACAGACTCTTGGCTCTTGGAAGAGGACCTCTTGCAGGCGTGCAGCCCGCTTGACCGGACCAGATGCGGAAAGGACGAACACATGGTTTTGTTCTTTTTTTGAGACGTATCAGCTGACAGCTCTTGAAAACCATAACTGTCTATTTTATTATTATTATTATTTTTTTTCTCCTTTGAAGCCCAGGTTGTTGTAGAGGTGGGATACTAGACAGATGACAAACACCCACAGTGATCGGCCATTCGGTTGTCCAGACGAACCACTCTGCAGACCCCACCCACCCTTCCTCTCTACCCCCCCCCCCGCCCCCTGTCCTACTCTACCATTAACCGCCCTGGACCATCACCCATCCCCATCTCTGCCGGGTGATCTGACCAGACAGCTGTTGCAGGCGCCCAGGCTAAGCAGGCGCCCCTACCCGCTGCTCAGCCGCGGTTGAAGCAGACCCCGTGCAAGCCTGATTGCACGGGGACTTTGGGAGCTAGGTATGAACATGCCTGTAGTCATATATGCCACTACAGGTCTTCATGAGGGTGCACAGCGGACTCCTTCCAGGGGTCGGGCAAGGACACTTGGCCACGAGACAGCTATTGCAGGTGCCCAGGCTAAGCAGACGACCCTACCCCCTGCTTAGCCCCGGCTGAAGCAGACCCCGTGCAAGCCCGATTGCACGGGGACTTTGGGAGCTAGGTATGAACATGCTATTACGGGTCTTCATGAGGGTGCACAGCGGACTCCTCTTTCCAGGGGTCGGGCAAGGACACTTCCAGGGGTCGGGCAAGGAGTCACCAGAGAGCTGTTGCAGGCGCCCCGGCTGAAGGAGTTCTCCATCTATTGGTGGGGAGCAGCACCTGCTGGAATGGGTGCTTCATCTCCGGTGTTTCAAACAGAGCTGCCTACGGTAAACCGTAGGCAGAGAGGGAGAAGAGGACAACAAACGAGGGGCTATATATATATATATATATATATCGTCACAAACAGATATATATATATATATCGTCACAAACAGAACTGCCCGGTAAACCGTAGGCAGAGAGAGAGAAGAGGACAACAAACGAGGGGCTGTGACAAACTGTTTCGTCGGAGTTTCACCGACTCATCAGGAGGCCATATATATATATATGTATATGTATATATACATATATATGGCCGTGATAGGGTTCAGATACATTCCCGGAAGTACTGGAGTGAGTATGCCCTCCTCGGCGAGGGGCTTTCCTGAAAAGGTGGAAAACACCCTGCCTTGGTGGCAGGGCACTAAAAGAAAGAAGAGGGGGGAAAAAATGATTTGCATTCTGCACAGTACTACAGTAGTGTGAGTATGGGCATAGCCACACCAGTCTCGAAAGGTGCAAAATGAGAATGAACTTCGGGCTAGAACATGACCAGATGCACCCGCCACAATTTTGTCTTTTTCAAATCTGGAGAGTGGTACGGTGCCCTGGGTCAGATGCCGTCCCCGGATCTCTTTTCTTTGGGCGTTGCCGCGGTGTGCGGCCGAAACGAAAAACGAAACGAATGTATCTTCCCGCAGAAAATGGACAGGTTCGTCGGTTTGCTATAAATAGAAACGAGTGTATTTTGCCACCTTTCGTGGGCAGACGCACTCGTTTCGTTTTCGTTTTGTGTGCCGCGCGGCAAGACCCTTTTTCTTTCATGAAACGGCAGGGACCTTTGTTCATCATTGATCTGACGTTAGTTTATTTATTTATTTTTATTATTATTATTATTATTTTTTCTTCTTGTCTTTTTGGTGCCATCTGCTGGCAAGATATAGGGGCTCGCCACACCACTATCGAATCGCGTTTTTTTTCGATGGGTGTCAGAAAAATTCGATAGTCCGGACTTCGATAGAAACCCCCCCTTTCACCACACAGCACTGTCGAATGGAATGTTTTCCGTTCCGGGTCCGCTTTCGACTGTCTGTCGTCTGTGTGCAGGTCCTGTTGTCTAGCGCGTGCGTGGGCGGTTTTTCGATGGTCCGGAATGTGGGCTATCGAAGAGAAGGCGATTGCAGGCGGACGTGCACATTTCGTTCGATAGGGGTATAGAATTCCCATTTCTGACACCTATCGAAAATTTTCGAAGCTGCATTTTTCGATAGGCTGTGTGGCTATGCGAAACTATCGAAAATTCGTGTTTGGATAGTGGTGTGGCGAGGCCCATACACCACTCGAGTTTCAAGGTAGGCTGCTACTGGTTCCCCCCCCCCCCCCCCCCCCCCCCCCTCGTTTTCTGTGACTCCCGCCGCGTAACCGCCCTTTTTTTTTTTTTTTTTTCGGAAAGTGTAATGTGAACCGCTTTTTCTGTTCAACCTGTTACTATAACAGTCAGGCGAAAAAAAAAAAAAAAAAAAAGAATTGGTTCCTGTGAACTGGCGGTACAGGGGCGAGGGCCCCCACTACCGTCTTCACCCGAATAGAACGCGCGGTCATTATAGCTGTATTTGGTGTAACCTTCGGTCTAGATACAGCTATAATGACCGTGCGTTCACAGCAATAATGACCGGGCGTGCGTTCACAGCAATAATGACCGGGCGTTCTATTCGGCTGAAGACGGTAGCAAAGAAAGGACTTAACGTAACCACTAAATCTGGAGAGGTGCAGACAATCGCCATTACTCTGCTTTTCTCCCTCTCTCTCCTTTGAACCCATCCACGCCTCCACATCCAACAATCCTCTTTGCTACAGTCTTCACCCGAATACAGTACCGTCATCATAGCTGTACTTGGGGCAACTTTTGAGTCCAGATACAGTGATAATGACCGTACGTTGTATTTGGGTGAAGACTGTAGTTGAGGCTCTAACCTTAAGGACTTTTCTGCCATTACATTTCTGTTCGGGCCCAGAGGATCGCGATCGCCAAGGACTTTTCTGCAATTACCCCATTAGTGTTCTTTCGTTTTTTTCCTAAGGGCCTCGCCACACACCACTGTCGAAACGAAAAACGCACTCGTGCATCTTCCCCAAAAAGTGCCCAGATGCATCCGTTGCTATTTTTAGGAACGGATGCATCTTGCCACTTTCTGTGGGAACATGCATTTGAACGTTTTTCGTTTCGATTTCGACAGTGGTGTGGCGAGGCCCTACATCGCAGCTATACACGCTCGTTCGAGGCCCTCGTTCCACTCTCTACTCGCCAAAATGTTGAACACAGATGACTAACGCACCATGCCCAGGACTACATTCATTCGCAATTTTCCTCTGTGGCGACTGGTGGAATGAGGCCTTCAATGATGACCTTTCCCCCACCCACCATGTCATCAAGATCCCGACGATGTGGCAGAACACCAAAACTGTACATGACATGCAAAGTGCGACGCTTTCTCATGGGGAGATAAATAAAGCCAATTAAAAAAAAAAAAAAAAAAACGATACATGTAGCTACCGGTAATCAACGATTAACCAATAACGCCTACAAATCTCCCAATTTTTTTTTCTTTCTTTTTTTTTTAATACAAATCTCCCTTTCAACCTTTTTTTAATCCCCCTTTTTATAGCTCGCGAATCCTGTTACAAGACAAGCGTACTCCAAAAAAAAAAAAAAAAAAAAAAAAGACAAGCTTACGCATGCTCTCCATAAATAACGAAAACCAGGATACCGTTCTTCCACTTCATCACATCCCCAACCAACCATCCACTCAATCAGAGCTAATCAACTCACCCATCAACATCAATCACCTATTACATTAATCAATTACTTGACCAATCAAACACAGCCACGTCATCGACCAATCAGACACACAGCCACGTCATCGACTAATTAAATACAGCCACGTCATCGACTAATCAAACACAGGCACGTCATCGACCAATCAAACACAGCCACGTCATCGACTAGTTAAACACAGGTAGGTCTTCGACTAATCAAACGCAGCCGCGTCATTGACTATTCAAACACAGACACGTCATCCACAACTAATCAAACGCAGCCACGTCATCAATCATTCCCTGGACAGATCATCATACGATCGTCGCTCGAAGCAGATTATCCAACGACATCATGGACACCTAGATTAACTTCTGTTATTCAGAAAGAACCAACCAGAAACAAAAAAAAAACAAAAAACAAAAAAAAGTACAGCGTCATGTCGCCGTGTCCTTTCCCCCGCACTCCAATCTGGAACGAGAGGGACACGCCAGATTTTCCCAGAACTACAAAAACAGAAACAGAAAAAGAGGAAGGCTGTCTGCGCTCAATCCAGCTCGACTACCTTCCCTTCTTCCTTGTAAATGTATCGTAGCGCAATTTTTGACTCTATGCATCGATCGATTTGCAAATACCTAACCTATCTTCCCGTTATCCTTACTACCACATTACCGACCCATAACCTACCAACCACTCTCTCTCTCTCTCTCTCTCTCTCTCTCTCTCTCTCTCTCTCTCTCTCTCTCTCTNGAGACAGGTGTGTGTGTGTCTCTGTCTCTGTGGCGCGCGCGCGCGCAGAGGCATGCGCTCACACACTGTTCACTGCAGTCTCCTCTGATCTCTCTCTCTCTCTCTCTCTCTCTCTCTCTCTCTCTCTCTCTCTCTCTCTCTCTCTCTCTCTCTCTGTGGAAACTCTCAGCTCCGTGAAAAGGAGATCTGATTTCAAATGACGACCTCCATTTTCATTCGGAATGGGGACACGCTTGTACGTTCAGAAGGTGGGCAGAGGAGAATATGAAGGACGGGTAGTGGACGACGAGACGGGAGAGAGATGCAGCCGCAGCCTTGGCAATTTGCAAAAGAATTGCCACCACACCTGCCAGAGTCCACGTGGAATGCCACAACGCCAGATTTCTGACCTCCTTGTACCGGGATGTGAAGGTGTTCAGATACAATTCGACAGCGGAGGGCTGAAGCCGCATTACCTAATCTCACAATCCTCCCCCCCTCTCCCTGTCACCGTCAAATCATCGCCCTTCGGTCTTCCGTTATCCTCTTCCGTTTCAGATTACATTACAGTATTACCGTTATACTATCTGTCATGATTAATCAATCCAAAGCCGCCACAGTGAATTGACAATGCTTCCCATTAATCGGGCATACGTACTCTCCTATCAATCCGTGGATGGATGGAATCATGGAAGAAAACTCTGTTGATTGACCAATGAATTTGGAATTCGGAAGCCATCAAATCTTCACATTTTCGACAGGTCAATGACCGAAATTTACATTTCCCGATGGCTCAATGATTCTAAAAACAGTCTCTCTCTCCTTGAAAGGATCACAACGATCAAACACAAAAAAGAAAAAGTGTCTCTCTGATGGATCATCAGTCCAGTAAGGTGGAGCACAGATCCACACTGCCGAGCCAGGAATCGAGCACGCTACTTTCCGTTCGCTACGCGGTGGACACCTAACCAATGGGCTCAACGATGCAAAAAAAAAACGTACAGCACCCCTACCTACCTAGCATTACCACCGGAGATTTGCGAGGGGAAAAAAATAGAAAAAAAAATGATAAAAAAAGAAAGGTATGAACTCTGGAGGATCAATGATCGGACTCTTTGAGCTGCTCTAGTTCTGCCTTCAGCTGCTCCATCTTAAGGCCCATGGATCTCTGCAGTGCCCCTCTAGCGTTTTCTCCCAACCTGGAAAGCAGCCCTTGGTAGGCACTAATGGCTTCATTACATGCCTTTCTTGCTGATTCGGCTTCCTCGTTGAAGTAGATGGTGTCCTTAGACTCCAGAGCGAGCTCGATTTCCTCTCTTGCCTCCGCGAACTTCTGATTGATGTCGTCGATCTCCTCTCTGGCCGCCGCCATCGCCTGATCGACCCTCTGCTCCTCCTCCACGTGGCGACTCGTGGACAGTCGTCGTCGATCGGCCGGCGACAGCGTCAAAGACCGGAGATCGCGTCGGGGAGATGACATGGGACCACGCGCCGCCGCCGCCCAAGCACGCCACGTGGCACGGCTCCTGTTCATCGGGTCACCGCCATATCCTTGACACGTGACATCACGCGAAGACGTAATTGCCATCGGAAACGCCGAAAAAGACATAGGATTTACGCGGCGAGCAGGAGGAAGAGAGGGCGAAGTCGATGGGAGAGTAGTGGTTCGAGTAGGAGTGAGAGAAGGAGGAGGAGGAGGAGGAGCTGACGTGGCAGCCGCGTGGTGGACGCGACTACACGTCAGCTGAGCTTGCCCTCCTAACTGGGATGGATTGTCGGTGGCGGCGGCGAGATGAGAGAGAAGCAGATGTCCACGTGGCGTGCTTCTGCCCGCGTGACTGTCTCGCAGATGACTCGATGCCGGGGAAACAATATCGGGTGACGTGTGCGCAGGTGGTGCTTCCACGTGGATTCGTTCCAGGTCACATTCCACGTGGTTTGCCCTGGTCATAGAAAGAGAGGAGACTCCGCCTCTCGCACACAATGCACTCAAGCTACATGCTATTGCTCCTCCTGACACCTCAACCATTTGCCCGGAGGTCCATATAAGACGATGAGCGGCCGCCATAGCCGACCTGCTTCTTCTTCTTCTTCTTCTTCTTCTTCTTCTTCGTCTTCGTCGTCGTCGTCGTCGTCGTCTACTCCGTTGAGCGACCCAACTTTACGCAACTTGGAAGCAACCCTCCTCCCAGCATGCCAACTCTCGAGAGTGATGGCGAAAGACACGTGGCAGGCACAGGCACGTGTTAGCGACACGTGGCAGGCGCAGACACGTGTTCCCGGCAATCATTCTCAAGACACACATGATAAATTACTACCACCCGCACAACAACGTTGCCCCGCCTTCTTCTTTTGGTACTCGGTGTGACCCAACAACGTGGTGGGCCCTCATAGGGCCTCGCCACACCACTCAGAAAACGACAAGTTTCACAAAGAGAAATGCGAGCCCAATAATTAAAAAAAAAAAGAAAACAAAAAGCGAGCCCAATAATAAAATAAAATAAAATAAAAAAAGAAATGCGAGCCCACCTCCCACACAAGTTGACGAGATACATCCTTTTTTAGGGCCTCGCTACACCACTGTCGAAATGGAAAAAGAACGAGTGCACCTTCCTCAGAAAATGACAAGATGCGTCCGTTGGTATTCATAGTAACGAATGCATCTGGTCACACCCGACGGGAACATGCGCTTGTACTTTTTGCGATTCGACAGTGGTGTGGCGAGGCCCTTATTACTATGCATTCGCTGCTGTGAATAGTAAAGGATGTAGCGCGCCAACTATTTTTTTTTATTTTTTTTTTAGCGCGCCAACTTCAGCCTGGCTTTCCTCCACTACTCTCGACATGCACAAAAGACAAAAATCATGGCGGTGCATCTGTCCATGTTCTACCGGAAGATTCACTCTCATTTTGCAGATTTCGAGAGTAGTGGAGCGCGCCATCTTCTGCAGGAAAATGCACTCGTATTTCTTTCGTTCGGTTTCGGGACGACCATGCCAGGCACATACAGACTGAGGACTCGGGAATTGGAATTGATAGGTAGACCCTGCGCCATACCACAGGCGGCCTATCCAGCGGCCTAGCCCAGTTGGCAAGGGACACAAGTGGCATTCAGGAGGTCTTGGGTTCAATCCCCATTGGCCTCATGCACCTTCCCGGGCAAGCTTGGCGCCGACCACCTAGAGATATGCCGTTGGTCCCCCCGAGTGGCATTGAGCAGAGACTGCTGATGTTCATAGGGGGAGGGGAGGCACAGTGACTGGCCCATCGAAGAAGCTCGGTCCTGATGCTACCGGCTGACCCCTGGCCCGTATCGCCCACCTGCTGTAGCAGGTATCGCACCTGCTGGTGGGTGCAGCTCCCACGTCTTCCCTCGTTGGAGGCTTGAGCACCGATGTGGCTGCTACGGGTTCCCGTAATACTATAATGACAATTAAAAAAAAGGCCTGAAAGGCCGTCCTGTCCAGATTTGACAGGTAATTGAATTGGTTGGGCTTCAAAGAATTAGCTTTAAAAAAAGTTCCATTCACTGCTCATATCTGACCGTCGACAGTGAAATTGACCTGCAGAGATGCAAAATCCATGACCTTGGGCCTGTACCTTAGGGAGCAGGGATATCTCGGCGTGAGTTTGTCCGATATGGGACAGAGGGGCCAGTGTTAGGGCCTCGCCACACCTCTCTTGAAATGTGAAAGAGACAGAAGTGTAGCGGGTGTTTCTGGTCATGTTCTTGCGGGATGTTCATTCTCATTTTGCACATTTCGAGAATGGTGTGGCGATGCCCTTGGTCATGTTCCAGCAGGATGTTCATTCTCGTTTTGCACATTACGGGGGCCGGACATAGGGGCTCGCTGCACTACTCTAGACGCGTGAAAAATTTATTGAGTCATTCAAGAGAGTCAGGAAAAGTCCTAAAGGGTCTCGCTCCACTACACTAGACTCACGAAAAAAATTGTGAGTGCTTCTAGAGCTGTCAGAGGTCTAGAACTCTTGAAAAAAGAAGCATCGCTCTACTTACTCCAGACTCAAGAACTATAGAAGCACTCACAAATTTCTCAGCGCTACATGACAGCCCTTCGACAGTGCTAGATGACAGCGCCAGCTCGTTCTGATGGTCGGGGCAGGAGGCACACTCACGAAAAAGGAGGCTGCAGGGGGGGGAGGAGGGAGGGCGCTCGAAAACGTGAGCATTGCAGGCTGCGAACTCCATACAAATAGAGAGTGCCCTTCGAGAGCACTTTCTGACAGCTCTCGAAGGGTGTCGCCACGAGTTCCAGTTTAGAGTAAGTGGAGCAAGAGGTGTTACTCTCGAAACTTCGGGAGTCTGAGTAGTGGAGCAAGGCCCAAAATCTATGCCTTGCCGCACTAGCTCTAGACTCTAGAAAAGCTAGAGTTGCTCCGTCACTTTCTGAGTTCGACCATTTCACTACAGGACAGCGCCAGCCAGACTCAAGGCTCGAGGAAAACCAAGGCGTTTCAAGGGTCCTCCGGACCTCCCTAAAAAAAGCATCTTTGCAGGCTGGTGCTCTAGATCAATCTAGAGTGAGAAGGACCGACAAGCTCTGACAGCTGAAGAAATGAAAAATCTAGAGCGAACTTATCGAGTAAGTGGAGCGATGACGACTCTATTACTTTTCTAGAGTCATTCTGACAACTATAGAACAGGTTTTCTAGCGCCCATTTCTTGTGTAAGTGCAGCCATGCTGTACTCAAGAAAAACTCGAATCTAGAGTAATACAGCGAGCCCCATAGGCCTCGCTGCACCACTCTCCACATGCACAAAAGACAAAAACGATGGCAATGTATTGTTCCATGTTCTAGAGTTGAATTCAGTCTCATGTTGCACTTTTGGAGAGTAATGCAGAGAGGCCCGTATACTCGAACTAAGGGCCTCCTTGCACTACACCTCACCCCATGAGTACTCACTCAAGGGCCTCGCCGCTGCACACACTCACCCCAAAAATCATCCCACTGAAGTCCAGGCTGGCACGGCGGGTTCAGCTACGTTCACTGGTGAACTCACCCCGCCCGTGCATGCATAGGCCCAGCGTACCATTGGAGTTCATGCGGTTTTGGGGTGAGTGAGTGCCCAGAGCCCACCTCTTGAGTCTGGACTCGCTCACCCACGGGCACCCACCACCACAGACGAGCTGCAGATGGGGCAAACCTGTTACCCCCCGGAAAATTGGAAAATTTTTCAAGTGCTTTCGCAGGGAAGGCTGTCGGAGGACCACTCCCCGGAAGTTTTTGTTTTTGTTTTTTCTTTTTGTGGCCCGATGGACCACTGATCACCTGTTTGTTTTTTTGTTTTGTTTTTTTTGACCAAACACTCATTTATTCCACATTAAAAAGAAGGGGGCCGGCCACCCCACAACAAGGCTGGTGCTGGGAGCCTTACCCAGTTTCGCTTTTTACAGGCCCCGAAAGGGACCCGAGGAAGAAAAAAACTTCAACAGAAAACCCACACAAACTATGCAATCACTACATTAACGCGACAACACAAAAGCAGAAGGACAACAAGCATCAGTTATCCTAGCTAAACCACCTCATCTATGTCCCTTCTCTAATCCACCCTCCTATCCATTCCCCAAGGATTCTCAAGCCTATTCTATCCATTCTGCACAAGGTCAATACAGTCCCCCGAGCCTACCCGCTGCTCAGTTTCTAGCTATGCCTCTCTGGGTTCCCCGGCCTGAAAACCAGCAGGTAACCTGCTTCCCTCCTGCGAGATGCTATCAAACCAAGAGGACAGGTAGGTACCTCTCTCTCTCTCTCTCTCTCTCTCTCTCTCTCTCTCTCTCTCTCTCTCTCTCTCTCTCTCTCTCTCTCTC